GAAGCAGTCGGTGGCGCTGTTGCACTCTGTCGACTCCGTGTGCGACGTGCGTGCCGGCTCAGGCGATGGGGCCGGTCGTCGGCCTCTTGCTTGCGCTGAGTGCGGGGTTGCCTTTGAAGCATCAGAGATCAAAGCAGTGCACGCAGCGCAGGGGAATTAAGCACGGGGGGCGCTGCCCGCAGCGCTGTAAGAACGGTTTTTTGAAGGCAGATCTGCCTTCAAAAAGAACGGTTTTTTGGAGGCAGATCTGCCTTCAAAAAATGGTTTTTTGAAGGCAGATCTGCCTTCAAAAAACCGTTCTTACAGAGCAGACCAGTCTTTCCTCTTTGAAGGCAGATCTGCCTTCAAAAAACCGTTCTTACAGAGTAGACCAGTTTTTTGAAGGCAGATCTGCCTTCAAAAAACCGTTCTTACAGACTACGCCACCGCGAGCGGGGTGTGCCCCGCTTGCGAAACCACCTTCGGCACGCGCCTTGCCCTCCTGAGCTGCCTTCGCGACAGCAGGCGGAGCGCGTGCTGGCAGAGAGTCGTTAACCACCCTAGGAAGTACACGAAGATGCTTCCTGAGGAAGCCGCCAACCTTGACGCCCTAGATCGCGAGGCCCGCACGGCGCCCAAACGACCCGGCCACTCGCACGCGCTCGCCACAGGCGGCTGCGTGCGCAAGGACGAAACCCCCGTGGGTCGATTGGCGGATTCTGGGGCACCAGCAGCGTTCAACCTTGAACGCCCGCTCTGGTGTCGCAGCCGCATCGACACGACACGAACCAACCCTATCATAATTGCAGGGTGATGATTGCGAAATTAGCGGGGGTCGTGTTCACGCGGCGGTGCCCCGCATGATGATTCAAACACCGACCCCAGGCCGGGAAATTATTTGTTTAATCGTTCCCCCCCAGCCCTCGGGCGCGCGCCTGGACGGTCGACGGGCCAAACGGAACCGAAGCGAACCGGAACGGAAGCTCAATATTCGGACATTATTTTCTGTATCGTTCCCCACATTATTGACTCAATCTTCATCTTGCAGTATTGGGCAGTGCCGTCTACCGGCCGCGGCTGCCGCACCAGTCCGCCCGTCAGGGGCCTCGGGATACATTCGATGATCCTCAGGACATGTGTTCGCCCAAACGTGTGTTTACCCCGTTCGGTTCCGCCGATAGCGCGCAACCTGTGTCGGCCGTCGTTGCGCCGCCTACTTTGTATTGAAGGGCTTCGGTGGACAAACACGCGTTGGCGCTAACATACGTTCTGAGGATCGTCGATGTACGGGGTGCCGCCTTTGCCCACAGGAGGGGTGCCCTGGCCATCCATGTGAGCGGGGCCGCTCCAGTCCTGGGCCCAGGGCTCAGATGAGGGAAAGCTACCCATACCCCTACCCTTCGCCCATTTGTCCCCTTGTTCGGCCTCCTGAGAGGCCCTCGTCGCCACCGCTGGATTCGCCCCGAGATCCTTGTCACAACGCACCCAGGGAGAGGTCCGGGCAGTGGTGGTATCGGTACCTCCTTGGTCTCCTCAAAGGTTGGTGAATTCGCGCTCCTCAAGACCAGAACGATGCCATGATACGATTGGCTCAGGATACGTTCCAGGATTTCCAGAATGTCGAGCTGCCCGCCTTCCTGCAGCCCGTGTGACTAAAACAGTAGGGCATCTGGAAAATCCAGGAAATCTTGGAAAACTTGGAATGTATCATTATCATGACCTCTTCCTTTCCTGACGAAATCGGCCCAGCAGCAGGCGCTGGCACCCGCGCCTGCCAGAGTATCTAGCGGCCCTCGTTGGTGGAGCCCGCGCGGAGCCGTCGTTGCTGGAGCTCGCGCGGAGGAACAGGAGATCTGGCAAATTCGGTATATATATATATATATATATATATACACATCGAAGTTCATGGCCAGTGGAGCCCAGCGCCTATCCAATAAATCCACGAGGACCCTCGAAAGTGTATGGTTATGCATCTTGTCTTTATTCTCCGCAGGTGCTGACCCAAGGTGTTTCTAGATTGATACCATTTTAACCCCTCTGGGCCTCTGGATCTCGGGGTTCTGCACAGGCCACTCATTCCTCCTTGGCAACAGTTTGGGGACACTCTGGGCCAGCGCCTCTTGCAACACCCGAGGCATCGCGCACTACCTCCTGGGTAACCTCAGGAGGTCTATAACTTTTATCAACCCTGTTTCACTAGGCGGTGTTTAGGACTGGTTCTAAAACCTCTTCCTTCTGCTCCCCCCCTCTCCCCCCCCTCCTCCTCCTCCTCCTCCTCCTCCTTCTCCTCCTCGTCCTCCTCGTCCTCCCCCCGCTCCTCATCCTCCTGCCAGATGTTCCGTGAGAGCGATCATGAGGCATATGTAGCAGTAGTTCTCTTAGTCGCAGCCGCAATCGTAGTATTAGCCGTCGTCGTTGTTGCGCGGCGTTGCTGCGGATTAAATAGTTACCCCCTATTGATGGGACCCCAGTGCTTCAAGTAGGCCGCCGAACAAATAATTACTTACCCCCTATTGGGGGGCTTGTGAAGACTTATCGCTGTTAGGTGTTCGCTTGTGGGACCTCCCTGGAGCCCACTTACTGGATCTGTTCGATTTCACCTCGATTATGAATCGATTCCAGTTCGGTTCAAGTCGACACACACTCGACGCGGCATCGGTGCATGAGTGGAGTGTGTGGCTCCAGGAAGGTCTCCAGGACGAGCATCTAACCTTGGGCGCGGATGGCGCAGGCGCCCGATGCCAGGCATGGTCGCGCTCCCAGAGCGTGGCCCGCGCATCCGCTCGGTCTCCCGCCGCGAGCACCAGCCCTTGCCTCCCTCGGCAGAGCTCGTTCGACATCGCTACTGGGAGGCTAGATCCGAACCGGTACCGACGTTCCAGAGATGCCTGCATGCCGCCGTTGTGCACCCTTGCGCGCCAGATGCGACTTGATGTTGACTCCGTGCGGTCACGGTCCGATCCGACGCGCCCTCCGATGTTCGATGTCCGATTCCCGATTCGGCGCCTCGGCTCTGGAGCTTCCCAGGCTCGACCTCTTAGCCCGCATCTTCGATAGCAACTCACGGGGGCAGTGCATGTCCTTGACGCTCCGTCTTCAGAGTGCATTCGCGCGCGGCAGCATCTGGCAATCGATGGGAGCGCTCCGGTTTGGCGTCTACACACGTCGATTAGCGTGGACTCGCAAGGGCCAGCAAGACGAAACGGGGAGGCTCCAAAATGGGAAGGCGCATCGCCCCGTGGCCTCCATGGCCCAAGGAGTGTGAGCCGCAAGCCGTGCGCCCCTCAGGTGCTCGGGCGGCTCTGGCAGGCGCGGGTGCCGACTTTCAACGCTCTTCCTCTGTTGGCCGCGCGGCCGGGGCGCCGTCGTCGTCCTCTTCCCTTCCCTCCGACCATCGCCCACGAGTGCAGGGGCTGGGTCGGCAAGTGATCCAGCGGGCCTCGCATACGCAGTGCAGGAGATGACGATGGGTCCTGGGGGTGGCGGTTACACAGCAGCTCCACGGGCGATGAGTAGTACACTGGGTTCTGGGCGTGCTCGCGGGCTTTGTCGTCGTCGTCGTCGTCGTCGTCGTCGAGATTCTGTGGCTTCCCTCTCCACCGACCTTCCAGCGGCAGAAAACTTGTTTTAGAACCGCTCCACCTGCGTTTTCTCTGAATCGTCATCCTGCAGTACAGTCAGGTCGCATAGTAAAGATCAGCATCGTTGCAAGGTTACCCTTGCATCCTTGCCCCTTCGGCCCATCCCAGTCCCGATCGAATAACTTCAGCATGGTCTTCCGAGGCCCTTGTATCTTATCGCTCCTTGTTATGCGACTTGACTGTGCTCCAGGCGCGCCCCCAGCTCTCCCTCGGCGCATGGATCTGCCACCGGGGGATGAGCCGGCAATGCGCACATGCGAGCGCACCCCCACCACCCCGCCAGCCCATGCGGAAGAACAGTACAAAAGAAAACGTACGGTACAGTCAAGGCGCTGAAAGAAGGACCGCTTTGGGCTCAGGAGGAGCTCGACTGGTTTTCGGGCCCTTCCTGAGGTCTAGGTGGGGGGACGCGTTCGTGGACGAGGCCCGCCGTGGCCTGAAAAGCTCCTTCGGTTCCTTATTTGGTTGGTTCTGGCAGCGCCGTAACTTTACAAACGAAGACGTCCGGTAGGTCTGCGCCGCGTTGACGCGTCGGTGGCCCCAGCGCGGGCTCTCAAGCTTGAGCGTCGCCTGTGGCCCCACATCGGCCGATATCGAACCTTCTCTGCGCTGTCGGCGATCGGAAGGCGCCGATCGTTTCACGGCTAAGCGATGCGCACTGCGTCGGAGGCCAAAACCGACGTCGTCACGACACGAACTTGGCGTACAGCTCGACGCTGAAGTAAGAACCACTCTGGGCTCGGGAAGAGCTCGGGCTTTCGGGCCGTCCCCTAGGTCTGGGCTGGGGAACCTATTCGTGGCCGAGGCTTACCGTGGCCAGAGAAGCCATTTTTGCTTATGCGTTCGACCAACGAAGAAACACCAAGTTGGTGCTCCCTATGCTACGGTAGGTTCGCGCTGTGTCGACCATCGGCGACCCCGCCGCCGGCGTTCAACGTTAAATGCCGCCCGATGGCGACCCAGAATCGGTCGCTGCTGAGCGATCTGACATTTTGGAAACGGCCAATCTTTCTACGTTGAACGTTCCTGGTGGTGTCAGGAACCAACGCCGCAGTCGGCACGACACGAACCTGCCGTAGCCCCGTCTAGGTCCAGGGGGAGGGGGTTAGGGGACAGGGGGAGGCGTAAACCCCTCCCCGAAGGGCAAGAAGTGGGTTGGAAGAAGAAACGCCCTGAACCACTCACGCCCTAAAGGGCTTCTGAGATTCGTGGCCGAGGCTCGCCGTGGCCAGACATGCCCCTGTCTCTTTTGCAGTGGACCAGAGAAGGAGGTGCTCCTTCTGGTAGCACGATGGCTCCGCCGCCTGCAGCTCCGGGATCGCATCCCGGCGCCGCTGCCTGGTCTCCCCGCCCTGCCAAGCCCGCCCCCCCCTCCGCCAGGCCGTCGACGCGCTCTTCACGCTCCGCTTCGATGAGGGCCTGGCGGCGGCCCGCGCGTGACCCAGAGGGCTCGCGCCACGTCCGCCAGACCCCCCAGGAGTGAACCATCTGCACGGGCACATTCAGCATGTTTGTGAAGGTGTGTGTGCACTTGGGGCAAGGTGGGGAAGGGGAGCCTCTGGAAGACATGGAGAAATATGGAAATGTCCTGGAGTTCGTGCCGATGTGTTCCTGCCTCCCCAGGCCCCCTCAAGACCATCAGGTACGGGCGCCCTGCAGGCCTGCTGGTCCAGGCAGCGCAGGCGAGGCGCGGCGGCTGGTCTCCGGGCGTCCTCGGCCTACCGGCCGCTTTTGGTCTGGCCCCGGGGCCGTCCACAGATCCAAACATCCGACGTCGTGCTGTCGTCGTCATCGGTCGTCGTCTCGCGGTCGGTCGGTCGATCGGTCGTCGTCGGTCGTCGTCGTATCGGTCGGTCGTTCTGTCCGGTCGTCGGTCAGTCGGTCAGTCGGTCAGTCGGTCGTCGTCGTTGGTCCTCGGTTCCCTTTTTTGCGCAACGTGACTCCTTAGAGGCCTGGACCCCTTCCCTGGGAACGGCTTTTCGTCCTGAGGCGTGTTTGACAGTCACAGAGCCCGGCAGGGGCCCCAGGGGCCGAAAGTTGGCAAAACACCTGCCCCACCGTGGTTTTTCATGACGCGGGGCTGTCAGGGCAGACTGCTGAGACTGGAAAGCCGGCCCCAGGCGAGGAGAGTGTGGCCCGAGGTCTCCCCTTAGGGCTTCCAGGGAGGGCCTGCTCCGAGGCGGGGATGTGTCCTTAACTCGGCGGCGAGCCTGGGGGGAGGTGAGAAGGAGCGGGTCTTCTCAGAAGGCTCGGAAGTCACCCGGTCTTCCGGGAATTTTTTCTGAGCCGTCCCGCGAGGACGCAGAACACTTCTCCGAATGCCGCAGGCCTTCCGAGAAGCCCCGCCGCCTTTGAGAAGGCCATCTCCTGCTCGCTTCCGCCGCCGCCGCCGCCATCGATGTCGTCGTCGTCGGCGTCGTCGTCGTCGTCGTCGTCGTCGTGGTCGCCGTCGTCGTCGTTGTCGCCGTCGTCGTCGTCGTCGTCGTCGTGGTCGTGGTCGTGGTCGTGGTCGTGGTCGCGCTTGCCGCCGAGAAGCCACCGCCCAGGGGCTCGCCCTTTCTCCTGCTCCTCGGCATGCGGTGCGGGGCGAGATGTGTCTCCGCAGCCGCGGCTCGCCGAGGCCCCCCGAGGCGCGGCCCCCCAGGCAGTGGTGAGGGACACGTCCCCGCCTCGCAGCTGCGCCCCCAGGGGGGGCGCCCCGCACGAGGCCCAGAGTCTAGGCCTCCCAGGTGGGGTCCTACAGGAGGAATGTTCAAACAAAAATGTAAAACAACAGTCTGGGGACGATTTTTGTATTATTTCTGCATGTGTTTGAGCATGTTTTGACTATTTTTTTTTTCTCGTCCTAAATCCGTCTGTAGGAGGACATGCCCGACCTAAGTCTAGGCCTCCCGGATGGGGCCCGAGCAGATGGGGTCGGAGGATCGCGCCGCATCGCCGATGCATCGGCGATGCACGTCTGGGGAAGGAACTCTCCAGATTCGCGCGTCCAACCCAAGCCCCATACGTAGAGGTATTCCGCGACGTGGCCCCCGGAGCTCTCGATCCCGTCCCCGTAACTGTTGTTTAGTCGCGAGCCATCTGTGACTATCCCGAGGCCCGATCACCGGCTCGTGGCCGCTTGCTGGCGCTGAGGTACGCCTGGACGGATGGGGGGGCGGCGGAGAGGGGGGCGTTGCGAAAGCTGCTGCGTGCAGCGGGTTTCCGCCCCGCCGCCGGGCGCCTTCCTCGATCTACATGACCGCCTCCGACGCTGGGAGGCGCCGGGGGAAGTCCACTGCGTGAGCTGAGTCGCGGATTCCCCTCTGCTATTCCCCCCCCCCTTCTCAGAGGAGGAGCATCGGCCACCGCCACCGAGAGCCCATCGGTGAGGGACCCGCCCCCGGGCGGTGGCACGGCCTGAGCGCCGTCGTGTGCTGCCCAGGGGCTCGGACCCCCACAGATGGGTTCTCGGTGGTGTTCTGTGGAGTTTCTCCGTGGATGTTCGTCCGACTCGATGAGCCAGGGTGCAACTCCTGGGAGGTTACATTCAGCATAGGCGCTGTCCTGATCCCGCTTAATTCCGCTTCCCAGTTCCGCTCAATCCCCCTTCAGATTGGGCGTAGTCTGAGCTTAATCCGACTTAATGGCCCCTTCATCGGGCCTATTGCCCTTCATCGTTCTTGCGGAGACCTCCCCTACCAGCTTGAAACATATCCCTATCCCTATGTTTGGCATCCTTACCTAGGTGCCGATCTCAAGGGTCCCCTCATTTTCAGAGGGCACGTCCCTGAGATTGTCACCGCCTCGGGGTTGCCGATCTTAGGGATGGGGATCAGCTCGAGGCTGGTTACTGTCAGGAGTTGTGCTTCCTCACGACGATGGCACCCTGGCCTGGCACGGCCCTCGCGGCTCTAGAGATGGGGGTGAATACAAACGAGGGTCAGTCAGAGCGCCGGATCTTGCAGGATTTTGCGGAGCCAGGTGTGCATTGACCTGGGCTTGGGTGCAGGATCCTGCAGGATCCTGCATAGCCTGACTGGCCGGGGCCCTTTGATTGACCCGGGCCAGCAGATCCCCGACCGGCCTCGGCCGCGGGGAGGCGAGCGCGGCTCCCTGCTCCCGCCTTGGGGGGCACGCGTTGCCCGCCCGCCCCGCGGCCTCCCGCAGCATGTCCCCCCCCGGCGCGCGCACGGGCCGGTGCGCCGCCCGCGGCGGTGGAGCAAGAAGGGTCGGCGGAGGCCCAGATCAGAGGCAACGAGAAGGGGGGCATTGGCACAGGGCGTAGGTCGTCGGCGAGCGAGGGGGGGAGGGAGAAGGAGAAGGCCATCTCAGAAGGCGGCGAGGCTTCTCAGAAGGCCTCGGGCCTTCCGAGAGGTTTGTTATGCCTTCGGGGAAGGCTTAGAAGACTTGTCAAAAGGTCGGGGAACTTCCCAGCCCTCTGAGGAGGCCCGCCGCTTGCGGCCGAATTGGGGGGTAATGCATCGACCCACCACCGCCCATTCATCGCCGATAGGGGCCCGATAGCCCGACCCCGCCCAGGAGCGTGGGGATCTGCGTATCAGGCGCCGACAGTCAACCCACATGGGAAAGATGATCGACTTCCAAAGGGTACCCTTGCATCCTTGCCTCTTCGGTCACCGTCGGTCCATCCTCAACCACTTTCGATGGCCAGCCCCGCTCGACGAGCCTCGGCATGGGCGCCCAGGGCCCTTGCATCTTTGCCGCGAATCCTTACTATACTGGTTGACTGTGTCGCTGGTCTATCGGCGATGCAGCGCCGCTTCTAGGTAGATGTGTCCCCCTGTGCCAGTCCACTCTTGTTGCCCCGCAAAGTCGTCGTAGGCCTGGAGCTTGGCACCAGCACCAATATCCCCCAGGGCCGTCCAGATGCGATCGGAGCAGGCGAAACGTGTCGGAAGACAAGTTGAATATCATGGCTTTCGGCCCATGCCGCCACGGTGCTTGGGCTGTGGGTATGAAGCTTGTTTGATGCTCGTTGGGATCTCGCGGGAGGCCTCTCGGGGGTCTTTCGGAGGCAGTTCGGAGGCTTCTTGGTGGCCGTTTGGGGGTCTCTTAGGGGCCTCTTTCGGGCCTCTGGGGGGTCTTGGGGCCCACTCCGTGCCCAGAGGCACTGTGGCGGATTGTTCGTCTGAAGGCACTGTTTTTGTGCCCTCGGTGAATTTGATGTTTTCAGTGAGAGTCGTGTGTCTTCGTTGGCAAGAAGGGTCGAAGGGTTGCGCCGCATCGCCGATGCATCCATCGGCCATGCGATTCGATGTGAAACCCGATGTTCTCCACGCCGACGTCGCCGATGCATTGCCAACGTCGTCCACGTATCGCAGATTTACTGGTGTTGCATCGGCGATGCGGCGCTATCCTCCGACCCCATCAGCTCCGACCCCATCAGGGAGGCCTCTGATCCCTGAGATCCTGGAAGGTACCACCAATTCTGGACCTTCCTTTCGCCTTTCTGGACCTCTTGGGGTGCCCTTGTTTCTCCGGCTGGATTCGCTTCGACATTCTGGTCAGAAAAACACTTCAGAAGGCTTATGGGGAGTGGGTGTCGGTATCTTTTGGTTCTCCCATTGGTGCCATATTTTTTCACGTCGGTTGAAGTTTTCTTGTTTCGGTCCCAGGGGCCCTCACGGATCGATCCGGCTCGAAAAATGTTGCTGAGAGATGGGGTCCAGGGCTCCAGCCATGTTTTTCAAATTTTCTTCGTGCGGATCTCAGGGATTGGCAGTTGCCTCCACCGAGGGAACATGATTCCGACCTCAGTGACAGTGGTGGTAATATTCGGGCTTCCTCGGTGACCAGCACCAGTCTCCGCTTGTTGGAGGCACCCCCTTTGTGTTGGTGCTGGTCAAATTTGCAGGCCTCCAAGAAGACGCCACGGATGAAAGAGTCGGCACGCTCGAAATGAATGGGGACGTAGATAGGGCACGAAGACCAACAGCAGATCAGATCTTGCCTATCCTGAGCAGGGCTCGCTGCCGGTGCTGGGCGGAGACAGAGGCCAACAATATGTGTACACGTACGCGGTATTTTGCTCAAGCGGGGTTGCGGCCAAGAGGTCGCCTGCCCAACAGCGGGCGCTGTCGGATTTGGAGGATATGTGCTGGCTGGTATCGTCTATTTGTTCCGTAGGCATCTCGCGCGTCCCCCAGGGAAGTTCCAGGCCGCCCATTTGCTTGATTCATCTTAGAAATACCCTTGGCGTTTTTTAGCAGTTTTGTAAGTTGGCCTCTTGACAGGCTGAATACGCTACACGCACGCTACTTTGCATCATCGTTACCTTGCTTAGCGTTGTTAGGCCCGTCGCTGTGGAGTCTATTTTTTTCCCTAGCTGTTGTTCATTGCTCGTCGAAGGGTGCTCCTTGTCTTCCCTGCCGTCTTCGCTCTTGGCTGCCGCCAGCTCCTCCCGCTCCGCGCGCAAAGTTAAATCCGCCACAATTGCAACAACAACAACAGCAGCAACAACAACAATAGCACCAGCACCGGCACCAGCAACCACAACAAAACATGCCTTAACAACGGTCAAACACTGGCGCGACACAAGTTCGGAGGCACCGCGACCAGCCAGCGTCGACGGCCAGAGAAGAACAAGTGGAGACATTCTAATACTGCGAGTGAAACAGAGATGGCGAGACTCAAGGAGAAGGATCTGAGGACGTCATAGACGGCAATTTTAAACAGCGCAATCAAGTGATTTGAAAGAGCCAGGAGAAAAGAACGAATAGGTGTTTTAGCGTGCTTATTTTTGGTTTGGACCTGAAAGCGCTAAACACATCATTTCCAACACGTCAAGAACATATGGTTAACAAAAACACGCCCACGGCAGATGTCAGACTCACGAAGCCCATTTGGACCAGGGCCGACGGGGTCGGAGGATCAATCGCATCGCCGATGCACCATCGATGCGGCGTGATCCGGGGCCCGCTTGTCTCCACCCCGACTTCGCCGATACATTGACGATGCATCGGCGAATCGGTGCAATCCTCTGGCCCGATTTGCTCTGGCCTTGTGTGGGAGGCCTCTGGTCAGGCGAGGCTAGGACGATGATAATTCCGTTCCAGAGCGTTCCAGAACGCTCGCAGAGCGTCCCAGAACGCTCTGAGAAGGCCGCGACGTCCGAGACATCCTCCAGAGCCGCCGGCATTCAGAGATTCTCGATTTATCCTCGCCCCATGTTATCTTCGTCTTGGCTTTGTCTTATAGAAGGCCTCTAGACACGGGTTCCAGTACCCAGGGCTTTCCCCCGGGGTCAGCGCTTCCTCCCGAGTCGCTTCGACGCGGCCTCTAGGCCCGTGGATGGCCGCAGGCATCCGAAAACGCCAAAAACGGCGCGTGCCCCTTTCCTCGGCATCGCTTGGACATGTGCCAACTGTGCACCACCGCTGCCATTGGGTAGGACGGGGGAGGAGGGAGGATGGGGAGGTCCTCCTCCTCCTCCCCCTCCTCCTCCTCCTCCTCCTCCTCCTCCTCCTCCTCCTCCTCCTCCTCCTCCTCCTCCTCCTCCCCCCCCCATCCTCCTCCCCCCCCCATCCTCCTCCTCCTCCTCCCCCCTCCCCCTTTCCCCTCCTCCCCCTCCCCCTCGCGCGCACCAGGGACAAGGGCTACTTCAGCGTCCAGGCCGCCGGCGGGGCCTGGGCGCGCGCGCTCCGCGGCACCGCGGGGCGGCGGCCAGCGTCGGAGCGTGCCGCCCTCCGAGTACGAAGGACGCTCGACACGTTGGCCGATGATCACTCAAGCAGTGGCGAGGCGTCCTGGCTCGCCTGTAGCCCTACCAAACAATGCTCTAAGAACCTTTTGTGGTTTCCGCGACATGTTCTTCGAACATTTCTGGCTGGGCCCGTCTCGTTTTCACACATCGGGTGTACGTTCTAAGAACATCTTTTTGTTCTTAGAGCATTTGGGGGTTCTAAGAACACTTCGTGGCAGGGCTATAGGAATGCCGGGATGGTCGGTCCCTGCTCGACGATGATCACAGGCACGCGGCATGCGACGCTCAGCATCGCAACCCCGGCTGTCGTCGTCGTCGTCGTCGTCGTCGTCCGTCGTCGGTCGTCGTCGGCCGCGGTCGGCGGCGAGGCTCTGCTCCCGCTTGGCCGCGCGCCGGCGAGGCAAAGCCGAGGCGGGGGTGCATCTCGGAGTGGGGCGAGCGGACGCAGTGGCCGTTGGCCTCGGGCGGCCCCCGGGTCGCCACGTCTGGACGCAGCTCGGACATCTGGTGCGCTCGGAACCCAGGGGGGCCCAGGGACCGACTCTGAGCTTCCATTGTCTCAGCTCTCTCTCTCTGCTCCGAGGTATGCTTCAAGAAACACGGCAACGTGTTTAACAGCTCCCCTCACCAGATCCGTGGATCGGATAGTAAAATCGACCGTTGCGAGCAAGAATGCGACGCCAGGATCTCAGGGGGGCGCGGAGTGAAACAATCATGTAGGTGGATGTCTTGGCGCGCAACGCTCTGCATCGGAACGGAGTCCTGGAGGTCTTGGATGCCTCCCTCGGGCTCCCGGGGCCCTTCTTGGACCCTCAGGGCTATCAGAAGGACCACTCGGGATGTGGGCCCGTGGTCCCTTGGATCGGGGGAGCGTAAGACCCGGGTTTGCCGGGACTCGGGTTCGCCATCGTTTTTTGACGACCGCGACTCGGATTTTGACGAGGAGGAGTTTCGGGGGATGTCTGCAGCGGGAGGCCTTGTCAAAATGCAGGCTCGGCCTCGTCATTTTTTGACGACCTCGTCGGGGATTTCCGAGTCCCCCGTACCCGGGTCTTACGTCTCCCCGATTGGAAAGCCCCACTCCATTGCTCGCGAACTAGTTGGCGTCCGCGCGGAATTCTTGGGCCCTCTTGGCGGCGCCGCCAGCGTCGCTCTCGGAGCGCTCCGCGCGCGGAAGGGGTTGCGAGAGGGTGTCCGGCGTGGACTCAGGAAAGCCCGTCGGATCTCGGAGATCTGCACCGACGACGCCAGCGGCAAGTCACCGCCGCTCCCTGTATTTCTAGAAGCGCCCATGTGGGCAAAGATTGAGCGACATATTGGCCACATGATTTGGCTGTGGACACGCTTTGGGGAACACTTGGGAGAGGATGCGGGCAAGGAGCAGGAGAGACAGGAGGAGGAGGAGGAGGAGGAGGAGCAGCAGTAGCAGGCGGACGAGGAGGTGGCCTGTTGAGTGCACCTCGGGGTCCTCGTGGGGCCTCTTGGCGGCCTCTTGGGGGTGTCTTGATAATTCGCAGCTTCGCGCCATCTGTCTTGGAGCCATCGGGTCCTATCGGGCCATCTTGGCCTTCTTGGAGGAAAGTGTTCGACCGTCTTGGATGCCGTGCAGGGCCTTCTTGGCTGACTTACAGGCCGTCTTCAAATCTTGGAGGCCATCTTGGACCTTAAGGGCCGTCTTGGAGCAATCTTGAAGGCCTCGTGGGATGAGGGTGTTGGGAATCCTCGAATGCAATTCTTCACGCTTCGCGTATCCCCACCAGCCCATCTCAAAACAGCAACTCTTGCGAAGCATGCCGACAGTCGTGTTTTTCAGGCGTGTTTCCGCCTGCCCCCGCATATCTCCCCTTTTCCTCCTTCCTCCCGCCTCCTTGTACATCCTCCTTGTGGTGGGAGCGGGAGAAGGACGAGGCGGAGGAGGAGGGAGAGAAAGCGGTGGGAGGCAAGAGGGATTTAGCGGAGACGACGACCACAGCGATGATCCTAACAACGACGACGCACCCGACGACGACGACGATATCAACCGCGACGACGACGACGACCGCAACCGCGACGACGACGACGACGACGACGTCGACGACGACGACGACGAAGGCGGCGGCGGCGGCGACGACGACGACGACGACGACGACGACGACGACTGGTGGGAGTCGTTGGGGCCCCTCGTGGTGTGAGTCGTTCGGCCCCATCGTCCTTGTGTGAGTCCTTCGGGCCCCTCTTCCTGGTGTGAGTCGTTCGGGCTCCTCGTGGTGTGAGTCGTTCGGGCCCCTCGTCCTGGTGTGAGCCGTTCGGGCTCCTCGTGGTTTGAGTCGTTCGGGCCTCTCGTCCTGGTGTGAGTCGTTCGGGCCCTTCTTCCTGGTGTGAGTCGTTCGGGCTCTTCGTGGTGTGAGTCGTTCGGGCTCTTCGTCCTGGTGTGAGTCGTTCGGGCTTCTCGTGGTGTGAGTTGTTCGGGCCCCTCGTCCTGGTGTGAGTCGTTCGGGCCCCTCCTCCTAGTGTGAGTCGTTCGGGCTTCTCGTGGTGTGAGTCGTTCGGGGCTCTCGTCCTGGTGTGAGTCGTTCGGGCTCCTCGTGGTGTGAGTCGTTCGGGCGCCTCGTCTTGGTGTGAGTTGTTCGGGCCCCTCCTCCTGGTGTGAGTCGTTCGGGCTCTTCGTGGTGTGAGTCGTTCGGGCCCCTCGTCCTGGTGTGAGTAGTAGTAGTGGGAATAGTAGTAGTAGTAGTAGTAGTAGTAGTAGTAGTAGTAGTAGTAGTAGTAGTAGTAGTAGTATTAGGAGGAGTAGTCGTATCCAAGGCAATAGGGAGGCCTCTTGGAGGCCGTTTTGGGGCCTCTTGGGCTCTCTTTTGAGCCTCCTGGGAACGTCCGAAGGCTCTCTGGGTCGCCTCTTGGAGCGTCTTGGGGGCCTGATGAGGCCATCTTGGGGGCGATCGGTCGCAGATGGGGCGAGCATTTTTCAGTGTCCCCCCCCTGGGGGCGACGATCCTCGTGAGGGGTGTCGAATTTTAGCCCTCCCAGGGATAGAAAAAGGACCCTCTGACCACCCGCGGAAAGCCCCCTCCAGGTCCAGGGGGAGGGGGTAGGGGGAGGGGTAAACCCCTCCCCGAAGGGGAAGAAGGGGGGTTGAGAACAGAGCGGACTCCCTAAACCATTCACGCCCAAAGGGCTGGTGGGATTTCCATATCATATATACTTGGGTAAACAATAAGTATTGCCTCTTGGCGCGATCTTGGGGATCCTTTTGAAGGCCGCTTGGGGCGTCTTGGAGGCGTTTTGGGCCGTGTTGAAAGTTTGTTTCTGTTGTGGTTGTGGATAACGGCGACTTGGGCCGACAGGAAGGACCAACACGAGTGATCTGAGTCGGCACGGCAAGCACCCTTCCGCAGGCTAAGTAGGCGGCGGATCTTGCTGCCTTTGACTCATCCCGCCTTCGTGCCTGGGTTGCCGGCCAGAGTCCGCTTTAATGGATGCCTTTGGGAGTCTCTGAGAATACCTCCTGAGGCCTCTTGGAGGCACCTTGGAGCCTCTTAGGCTTTTTCGGAGCCTCTTGGAGGCATGTCGGGGGCCTCTCGTGTGGCTTCTTGGGCCTCTTGGGCGACTCTCGGAGCCGTGTAGGGGCCTCTTAAGGTTCTCTTGGACCATCCTGGCACAACAGGGCACCCAGGGTCACTTCGCGTTCTCCGATACGGGGCCGAAGGAATCGAAAACACAGCACGTTATTCAATGATTGAGCCGGGAGAAGTCACGCGGAGCGCGCTCGAGAGCGCTCAAGATCACGGGGAACCCGGCTGCCTGGGCCGGGAGCCGCAATAGTATTGATGTGAAATTGGGAATTCGAAGGTACTTGAGGAGACTCCACTCATTGCCACCGGCACCGTGGCGGATGTAGTTTTCGCTCTTTTGCCAGAGAAATTGAGAAGGTAACACCTCGCCCTCGGCGCGGAAGCAGTCACGAGGCCCGTGGGTACCGGCAAAGTCAAACGAACGCGCATCCGCCGACGGAAGCTTGGCGCCAGCATCCACGAAAGGACAGTGACGTCGTAGCCAAGGTAGCCACGCTCTCTGGAGTCGGAACCCGGCCGTCGACTTCTGCTCTGGGGCCCCACAACGGTGCGGTGTCCATACCGTGTGGTGGGTCAGTTGGGATTCGGGGTGACCGCACGGTTTTGGTTTTTGCGTCGTTCTCCGAGGATGTCCCGGGCAATTGGGGCATCTAAGGTCCCAGACCCGTGCGGCGACGGATCTTGCGGTGATGTCTTTGGGGATTTTGATGTCACGGCGCGCGCTGTCACCGCACTGGTTCGGGACCCCGAAGTCTCATTCGGGAAATTCTGGACGCTGGGCCCAGCTTCTGCCGACAGACCGTTGAGCATCTTGAGCGCGTGCTGAGCTGCCGCCTGGCTGCCTCATGGCTTTTCGCGCGGCTGCCTGGTGGCTCCTGTGGTGATCTGATGGCATGGCCACAGCAGCGACTTGGACAGCAATTGCCATGGCGGCGCAGTCAGGATGCAGCTCCTGGGAGGTTTATTGCAGCATCGGCATTGGCACATCTGAGGTCGACAGCCTGCCTAATCCTGCATAGTCCCGCTCGATCCCGCCCAATTTTGCCAAGTCCAGCTTAATCTTGCGTTTTATCTTTGCTGATCTGGTTTGGTTGCTTTGCCCCATCGGGACTCATAGCCCGTAGTCGTGCATACGAAGACCTCCCAGAGGTTGCCTCTCGACTTACCAATTTATCTGATGACATCATCACAGATGCGACGTGGACAGTACAGTCGAAACCAATAGTAAGGATGGGTCGCCTCCCTACGGGTACGCGGGCATCTGTGCCTCTGTGGTCCACCCTTGACTACGTTCGGCGGCCCTCCGCGGCCGAAAAAGCTTGAACGCGGGCGCACGAGTGGCTTGCATCCGTATCGCGGCATTCCTGCTGTCAGTTCTGGCTGCAGGTCACTGCCGAGGCCTACTTCTGCCAGGATCGCCCTTGGGGGCCTGTGCCTTCCGCGCCCATGCCCACTGCCCTGCTGTTCCATCAGAGGCGGGCGCACGTGGGAGCAGCCGGTGCTCACCGCCTGCGACCATGCGACCAAGAGGTGCCAGGGGGGGAGGTCGCAGCGACCCCCTTGGGAAGCGGACGGTCGGACGGGGCCAGGGCGAGGATTAGTCCGTTCCAGAGCGTTCCGGAACGCTCTCAGGGCGTTCCAGTTGGGCGCGAATTAATGAAGGGGGGATCAATGCGGGGGAGGAAAGGTGCCCTTTTCGGCCCCTACAGGTTCCCTCTTGGGCCCCGCAGGGGGCTCCGTTAGGGGCCCTTTCGGGCTTCTTTTTTGCAGCCCTTGCTGCCCCCGCTCATTTACCGCCCCATTGATTCGCGCCGAATCCAGAAAGCTCTGAGAAGGCCGCGGCGCCCGAGACATCATCCAGAGCCGCCAGATCTCAGAGGTTCTCGATGGATTCTCACCCGAATTTGGCCTCGTCCTGGCTTCGTCTTAATATTGGAAAGCGAATGGTTAAACCATACTCCCGGTTCGTCGTCGTCGCCGGCGAGGCCGCCAGGCCGCAGCCAGCGACACAGACGATACATGATTGTATATTATATCGCCCTTCCCGAATAGTTGTTCCAATCGTTTGGTTGCACTGCGCGCACGCGGTGCTTCTTTGTTGGATGAGACGGGAGCCACGGTGCGCCACGGAGGCTCTTTGACGTCCCCCGTCGTGACAACAATCTCGACCGGGGTTGGATGACAATGTTTTCGGTCTCCGGTGGCCGTCGCCGAGCCTCGTGGCCGCCAACACACGACTCAGGGTGAAAAGTCGGTCCTGGAGAAGGGGTCGAGACGGTCGAGACCTCTGGGGAGCCACGGCGTGAACAAAAATCACGACGTCGGATAGCTAGGTTAGCCGTGGGTCGCTGAAGCGCTAAAGGAGTCCCTGCGACAGGCTGTTCCCAGCTTCCCGCTCCGTTGCGGAGCCCTCTTGGCCTCGTGAGAGGTTCTCTAGAGCCCTTCGGGTCCTCCATGGCAGTCTTGTGAACACATTGTTGGCCAGGGACACCCTGGGCAACACCCCAGTGACGGGTGCATGAAGAGGGGGAGGTGAGGGGGCAGGGGAAAGGAGGCGGAGGGGGGTTGGCGCGTCTTCGCCGGCGCAGGCCCAGATCAAGAACGCCTTGGAGAAGAAAGCCCGCCGCGGCATGATGAAGCTCGGTGGCAAGGACAAGAAGGAGAAAAAAGACAAAAAGGAAAAGAAGGACAGTCCCGTCCACTCGGCCGTGGAAGCCCTTGGTCGTACGTGCGGTTGCCAAGAAGCAGGCTACAGCGAGGGGCCTTGATATCGTTGCTCGTTCACCACTGGAGAGCTCGGTAAGCGTGCCCGCAGCTAAGATTCTGCGGATCGGAACGAGGCGGGCGGAGTGAGGATAGACGGGGAAAGCTTACAATTCCGGTCGGTCGTGCAGTAGCCCTGGCCAGGAATATGCTGCCTAGATTGGTCGATCAGAGCTGATTGAACGTCCGTCTCCCTGGATGTTCTAGCATGCTCCAGTTTCCGCTTTGTTCGGCAGGCCTGGGACCATAGATGCATCTTTCTAGGGCGTGTCGTAACGCTCTGGAGCGGCCGCGGTGCGTGATGCGTCTTCTGGTTCTGCTGGTTGTCAGATACTGCAAGGTTTTTACGGCCAATGCCGCCACCCTGAAGGGGGGCCACGCCGGCGACGACGAAAAACAGCTTTCAATTGACGGACAATCATTGAATTTAGCATCTTAGGGTTCTTTCGGGGCACTCTTGGGGCTTTCTTGGGCCTTCGTGGTGCCTCTTCGGGGCTTCTTGGGCGCCTCTTGGGGTCTCCTAGGAGCCTCTTGTGGCGGAAGCCTCGATCGAACTGTTGGTGGGTATCTCCCCGTTCGGGATTGGAATCTCCCCGCGGGCAGCCTCGCGCGCCGACCGCAGAACAGTCCCAGAGAACTCAGCCGATCAGGTCGACTTATTTACTTTCGCGGCCCTTGCGACATATCTTAAGGTGCAAAGACAAGGTTCCGGCTTTGAAGAGCAGATCGCAGCGCGCGATACAATTTTGTTGGTGTAGCCCCGCGGGAACTTCCAGCACCCCACGAAGGCCCTGGCCTCAGCGGAGCTCCCTATAGGGCCACGAAACACGTGAGCGGTGTGCCGAAAGGGGTGCGGCCTCACATTGCCCTGGTCATGCAATAGCGTTTCGCAATGTATCCCCGGGAATCTGGGCATCGGCCATGAGCCGCAACGGATTGAACCAAATGGCAACGGGAGGGGGAAGAGGAGGAGGAGGAGAAGAAAGAGGTCGAGGAGGAGGTGGGAGAGGGGGAAGGGGGAGGAGGAGGAAGGATGAGGCGGCGGAGGGAAAGGGGGGAGTGGTGGCGAGCGCGCGTCGGCAACGCCTGCAAGCGGGGCCCGATCTCGGCGCCAGGCGCGCGACCCAACGAGCATGGGAGTTCCCCGTCAGAATCAGAGCCATTACGTAAACGACCTTCGTTCTGAGGGGCACCTTCTCGTGAAACGGGGAGAGAGCGGGTATGGTGGGGGATTTGGAAATGGCGGCATGCGATGCGATAGCGGGCCATCTTGGGACCGCCTCGGAGGCCCGTCGGAAGCGGTTTAGGTTTTGGAAGGGGTTGGGCCTCTCGAGGTGGCCCTTAGGGGGGTCCGAGAGCATTTGGAACCATGTGGCGGTTATCTGGGAGGCGTGGTGGAGGCCATCTTCAATTGTTTTGAGCTATCTTGAGCCAGCTTGAAAGCCATCTTGGAGTACCAGAGGCACTCCGTCTTGGGTCATGTTGGGCGCTCTAACCTTCCTGTGTAGATCCCTGGGAAGGGGTAGGGGGAGCCCCCCCTCCCGAAGGGGAAACAGGGGTCTGGAAAAGGAAAAGAAAAGTATACCACCCACGCCCAGAGAGCTGGTGGGATTACCCAGGGGGGGCACGATTTGTCCGCGGGGCGCCCTTCGTTCGTTTGCTGGTCTTCGGATGTCCGCGGATCTGCCCCGCAACGCTGGTCTCTTGCCTCGTCCGCGGCGTTCCTCGGTCCTCTGTGCCGTTCCCTTTGCTCCGTCTCTCCTTTTGTGATTCAAGCTTATTGTCCTCCTGCTTGCTGCTTCTGCGCCTGCTGGTGCTGCCGTCCTGACCCTCCTCCTCGTCCTCCTCATTTCCCCCTCCCCTTTCCTCGACTTCTTTCTCTCCTTCCATGCGTGACTTCGTCCTTCTGGCGGCCCGTGCCCCATCTTACCTTTCCCACGCCCACCCCCTCGCCCCCCTCCTGTATCTCTTACTCTGCCTGCCTGCCTGCCCCCTCGTGCGCATCCACCTGGCAGGGGGGGGGAGGAGTTGTTCGCCTGGTGCCCCTCCTCCTCCTCGGCCCCCTCTGCTGCGTCCTTCTCCCTGTCGCCCTCGTCTTTCGTTTTCCTTCGAAGCTGCAAACAGGACCATGAGAGTTTCCCGTCAGTTCCTCTCTTCTTCGTGCCCCTCCTCCTCTTGCTTCTCATTATCCTCCGCTTCTGCCGCCCCGTCCCGCTTTGAAGCGGCCCCAAGGGCCAGTGTCATAGTCCTGCCTCTTCTCCTGCAGTCCCTCTCACCCCTCACCCTGACATTGCCTGCTTCTGATACTCATCCCTTTTGTCCTCCTCCTCCACATCTTTCCTTCGCTCGCCTGCCCCTCCCATTCTCCTCCTCTCCCACTCTGCCCGCTACCGTGCCCTAACTGTGTACCCAGGCGGTGTTGCGGCGCTAGTTGGTGGGCCAGGGTACCGCAAGCGGGTACACAGGTATGCCCTACCCATAAAATGCGTTCGCCCTCGGGTAAACAGGTACAGGTTGTACCTGTAGAAGCACGTGGCCCTTGATGTACTCCGCGGGGGTAAACAGGTACAGGCTGTACATATTTGGCCCCGACCCGTTTTGTGTTTTATACGTGTTTTTACATAGAAAGGGGAGTCAACAAGTGCAGGTTGTACCTGTAGAAGCACCTGGGGGGTAAACAGGTGCAGGTTGTACCTATAGGAGCAGCCGGGAGTCGACAGGTACTCCCTACCGACAGAATTCTTGATGCTTCGCGTATCCCCACCAGCCCATCCAGAAACGATCAGCAGGGGAGTTGGTGAATCAGGGGCGGCAGGACGCATGCAGTCGCGCAGCCGTCTTCGAGAAAACAAGGATCACACATAGCTTCCCGCATTGAAGTTTAAGATGGGAACCAGTGCAAGCTACGATGGTGCTTCGATGAGGGGTGAGGGGTGTTTCGATGACTCGTAATGGCTGTTGCACTGATTTGTGTCTTAAACTCGCGTGCGTTCCGAAACTTGGAGGCATCTTGGGGCTCTCTTGGGATTCTCTTGGGCCCCTCTTGGGGCCTCCTGGGGCTCTTTCTTGGGGCTCTCCTGAGGTTCTCTTAGGGCCTTCTTGGAGCTTCTTGGGGTTCTTTTGGGGCGTCTTGGGGCCCTCTTGGGGCTCTTTGGGGGGGTCTGGGGGCCTTCTTGGGGCTCTTTTGGGATGCCTGAGGGGCCTCTTGGTCCTTATGGCTAAAGATGGGGGGGCCCTCCATTCTTGTCCCCCCCTCGGAGGCTCAAAATTGCCGTCTTGGGACCCTCTTGGCCCGCTCGTGGGCGCTCTTGGGGCCGTCTTGGGGCTCTCTTGGCCCCCTCTTGGGGCTGCCTTGGGCCATCTTGGGGCCATCTTGAGGCCTCAAGAGCCCTTCGGAGGCGAAACAGCGAGAAGGCAACAAACATTGATTTTCCTTCGGTTTTTGAAGGATTTTGGCCTCTTGGGGGGTCCTTGGAGGCCTCGGAGGGCACTTGAAACCTTCTTGGGGCCGTCTTGAGGCCTCTTGGACGCGTGTCGGAGGCTATCTTGACCCGTCTACCGCTATCTTGGGCCATCTTGGAGGCCATCTTGCGCTCTCAGAGGCCCTCTTGGAGCCATCTTGGGCCATCTTGGACGCTGCTATGGGTCCGTCCCCCCCCGTCCAAACGCAAGGAGGGGGGGGGGAGGTAAACCTCCCGAGCAGTGAAAGGCAGGAGGTTGGAAAAGGAAACGCCCTAGACCACCACCTGCGCGACCAGAGGGCTGGTGGGATTTGCTTGCCTCCCCCCCTCGCCTTGTGGTCGACCTGTAGAGGTTGGCCGTTGTACATGGCCCCCATTGTGGTCCACGTAGGTATGTCGAGCCAGGGTTCGGATGTCCGCCTGGGGGGCTCCGCGGGGTGCCCTGGCGACTGGTGGCGAGGCCCTCCCCGCGAGCCGGCGACGCGGGGCGCGTGCGGGATGCCAGCATTTGGGTGGGAGGGGGGGGGGGGGGGGAAGGGGGGGGGGACGGGGGGAAGGGGGAGGGGGGAGGGAGGGGGGGATGGAGGGACAAGAGGGGGGGAGAGGGAGGGAGAGGGAGGGAGGGAGGGGAGGGAGGAGGGAGGATGACGAGGAAAGAGGAAAAAAGGAGGGAGGGGGGAGGGAGGGAAGAAGGAGGAGGGAATGAGGGGGGGAGGAGGGAGGGAGAATAGGGAGGGTGGGAGGGAGGGAGAGAGGAGGGAGGGAGGAGTGAAGGTGAGGAGCGGGGTGTGGAGGCCAAGCCAGGACGACGTTACCTGCGAGATCAGCGGTCCCCGAACACTGCGACGAACCATTTCGCTATTATCCGCCAGCGTGCTTCATGACTGTGCCTGGTTGGATCTCCGTGTGGTTTCTGAGGGCCCCCCTCTCGCCGCGCCCTGTCGCGGGCGCCGATCCCCTTCCCCCGCCGAGGGTCAATGGCTGGCCTCGTGTCTCGCCAGGGTTTCTTCGGAACCGTCCGCGGCTCCCAAGACGGCCCCGGAAGCAACCGCAACCCCCAACGTGGCCCAAGACTGCTTCAAAAGGGCCCGCGCGGCCCCTCAGAAGACTCAGGGAGTCGCCAATTCAGCCCGAAACGCTTCCAAGACGCAGGGGAGGAGACCGGGAGCCCCCGCAGGAAAGCGCGAATCATTCAAGGGTCGGCGAAGTCCATTTGGCTCGTGATTTTTCCCAACCGCCCTGCGTTGTTGGGCCCTAGTTTCGGGGGTGGACAGAACCCCCAACAGTGACACGTGGATTAGTGAATTGTCCGTTTTCGGTTCTCGAGAGGGCGCCGTGGCCGTTATTTTCCAGGCTTGCGCCCGCCAGGTTTGGGCCTCAGGTCGTTTTCACTAAACCACGTTTTACTAAAGGGGGGTCTGTCCATCCCCGATAGTTTTGAGGAGACAGTGCCCCGCATCCTC